TATATATATATATATATATATTTGAACTGGGGGAAACTGGAGCACCAAGTAAATACTCACGCTAATATGGGGAGAATATGCAAACTCCACACAAATATAAAAGGCCAAAAGGGTCAAGCTGCGCCTATTACCACATGAGAGGGCAATCCAGCATATTTCATAGATATAAACATGATCACAGACTACGGTCCACGTTATCTATTTGCATATATGATAAAGGAATAATGTGGATAATATGCACGAGCAGCACTAAGGCAAACATAACACAGCTCGCAACGATGTCATACATAACACACCTTGCTACAATGTTTGATTAAGAGGACCCTGAACGTGGATTGTCATTCAGATCGACACTCTACTACACAGGCCTTTCCACCTACTTCATGGGCAGAACTTTGAAATAATGGGAGGGGCTGAATATAATATTATACAAAACGCCGTTTTTTACGGCGTCTTTGACATAAAAAACGCCGAAAATAACAGCGAATTATGGCAAGCATACGGCGTCAAACACGGCGTTCTTGACTGGATCAAAAAACGCAGTTTTGTGCCAATTTTGACCAGCAAAACACCGTAATTGCGGCGTTTGCAATGCAAAACGCTGTGATTTTTGCCGTCTTTTTGTCTTAAACGCCGAAAATACCGGCGTTTTAGGGATGACACGGGTTTGGTAATAGGCGCAGTTTGACCCACTTGGCCTTCCATACACAAAAGGCCTTCTAGTCCAGCTGGGATTTGAACCAGTAACCTTCTTGCTGTGAGGCAGTAATGCTAGCCATCATGGCGCCCTGTATGATCTCTCTTATTTTGTGAAAAAATATTAATAATTGATTCCACAAGAGGAGCGACGCGGTGGCGCAGTGGGTTGCATGTTTGCCACACAGCAAGAAGGTTGCTGGTTCGCTGCACTTGGCGTTTCTGTGTGGAGTTTGCATGTTCGCCCCTTGTTCGTGTGGGTTTCCTCAGGGTGCTCTGGTTTCCCCCACAAGTCCAAAGACATGTGCTATAGGTGAATTGGGTAACTAAAATTGTCCGTAGTGTATTTGTGTGAATGAGTGTGTGTGGATGTTTCCCAGTGATTGGTTGCGGCTGAAAGGGCATCCGCTGTGTAAAACATATGCTGGATAAGTTGGCGGTTCATTCCGATGTGGCGACCCCAGATTAATAAAGGCACTAAGTCAAAAAAAAATGAATGAATGAAGGATTCTACTAGAGTTTCACAAACATTTAAGCTGCATTGTATACCATAGCTGTCATGGAAGACATCTGGACAAGCTTTCATGGACAACCTACTGTTTTCTTGTTTGTTTTTTTTTCACAGAAAAAATATTTCTAGCACAGTACCCAATGGCATCTCAGGGGATCCGGCAAAAACCTTGGGTCTGTTGCACGGTTTACGCGTGTGTCAGGATGCCTGGGCTCCCAAAAGCCCATGGGACAGACATGGGGCACACACTGCTCTATGGGGCAGACCTGCTGGGGTGAGACTTTAACCATGCTTTTTAGATTTGGTCTCGTCTAGTTTAGCCAGATTTTAAACAATATACACTAGACCTAAGTTTTAAGAAAACTAACTTGTGTTTAATCAGTTTTAATGATGGTAGTTGGCATGTAGTCGCAAATTTAGTTAAACAGAGTTAGTGAAAAGAATGCTTAAAGAAACCTTAACAGTTACATATTACCAATTCATCTTATTAAGTGTGTTATAGAACAGGCATAACCAACAGTAACTATAGCTTCTTGACCAGTTTTTCTTACAGAACAAGCGCTGTTGTCACTGTTGCATACAAATGTAGAAGTAGTGAGAGATAAGGATGACTGCGAGTGCACTTTAAGAGTGTCTTAAACCACCATGATGTAAGATACCATAGAGACTATTTCTAGAGTTCATGAAAGTAAATGCAGTTTCAGAATTGTGCAATCCAGAATAGTGTTCTATCATAACTTGTGCTTTGTTCAGGGCGTTTGTTGGTACAAATATGTTTTTAAAGGGATTGTTCATATACACACACACACACACACACACACACACAAGCAATTAAAATCACAATTATTAGCCCGTCTGTTTATTTTTACCCCAATATCTGTTTAACGAAGACATTTTTCCTAACACTTTTCTAAACATAATAGTTTTAATAATTCATTTCTAATAACTGATTTATTTTATCTTTGCCATGATGACAGTAAATAATATTTGACTGGATATTTTTTAAGACACTTCTATACAGCTTAAGGTGACATTTAAAGGCTTAACTAGGTTAATTAGGTTAACTAGGCAGGTTAGGGCAATTAGGCAAGTTACAGTATAACAATGGTTTGTTTTTTAGACTATCAAAAAATTCGAATTTTGTCCTTAAAATGGTGTTTAAAAAATTAAAAACTGCTTTTATTCTAGCTGAAATAAAACAAGTAAGACTTTCTCCAGAAGAAAAAATATTATCAGACATACTGTGGAAATTTCCTTGCTCTGTCAGACATCATGTGGAAAATGTTTAAAAAAGAAAGAAAAATTTAAAAAGGGGCTAATAATTCTAACTTATATATATATATATATATATATATATATATATATATATATATATA